TTTATTTTTATTTTTATTTTTTGTTGTTTTCCTTTAAACAAAAAACGGAAAAGGGTCAAATATGTCCCTATATTATTGAAAAGGCCTAATATTGCCCTCCGTTAAACTATCAGTCCAAATATATCCCTAACATCATACTATCAGTCCAAATATATCCCTGACATCGTAAAAGTGGTACAAACCTATACTTCCTCCGTTAAGTGTCTCCCTATGACAACATTTCATTGCTACCTCACCATTATACTCCCATTTGCATCCCTTCCCCACAACCTTTCTTTCCCTTTCATTTGAAGAAAATCACAGATCATAGATATACAGACAAACTATATCAAAAGAAATGCTAACATGGTCAATTTTGAAACCTTAAACTAGTTTGCCGGTATCTTTGCTTAGTTTTTTATATAAAACAAAATGTATTTTCGTTCTTATAAGCATGAATTTTGAATAGCAAAATCAGAATTTTCTCGGTTCACATTGTTTCATATTATCTTTAGCTTGGTGAGAAAGAAAAATAACCTAGACACGAGAGTTAATTTTTATTGTTTCTTTCTCTTCAACCACATTTCTGGAAGGCTTCTATTTTTTTCTCTCTTTACGTTTTATGTTAAAATAAAAGTGCTACTAAATTTTCCCTAAATAGGTCTTACAAATTCAGCAGCAACACAAGGAAATGCAAAATAAAACACAAAATTGTAAGATCAAGTGAAAGGTACGTACAATTCCAGGATCGGCCGGAGAAGCAACAAGTATTTTGAAAAGCAAGAGGAAGTAGAGGCAATGAAGTCTTCAAAATAATGATAGAACTTTAAAGTAATTGAACTTGGTAGCTGCAAACAAGGTGAAATGGTGAGGTAGCAATAAAATGTGTTCATAGGGGAGGCAGTTAACGAAGGAAGGGTAGGTTTATACCACTTTCATGATGTCAGGGATATATTTAGACCAATAGTATGACGTTAGAGGTATATTTGGATTGATAGTATAACGGAGGGTAATATTAAACCCTTTTCAATAGTATAAGGACATATTTGACCCTTTTTCCGAACAAAAAACATTCCAACTAGCGTATCGCGAACCTTGTCTTGAAGTTGTTCCATTAAAACAGATTTTTTGAAAGGAGATGATCGAAATGGAACTAAAATATTTGAGGACCACAAGAATTCACGCCTTCTGTCATCAATGATTACTTTACTAATCTGGAAACTTACAGCAATTAACTTAGTAGTAGTAGTAGTGACCTATATACTAAAATTAGATTTGACTCGAGCATATTGGTTTGTCCGTTTGAATTTATGAAAGATGAAATGGTTTTGTCGAAAGGGATTAACATATACGAATCTGAGCTCTGAGGAGAATCTTACTTACTTTCTTAGTCAGTAGTATTTAATTACTCAACTTGGAAATGAAAGTTGCTGGCGGTAGCAACGTTTATCAGACGTATCAATAAGAAATTAAATGTTTATAATAAAGTAGGGGTGCAAGTAGTATTATCTTAAATACAAGGGAGAGAAAAAGTATACTACTACTTAACTGTTTTGCAGGGGATTGAAAAATAAATTAAAAAATTGGGACCAGAAAAGAAAAGGTGATGAAAGTTATGGGGAAGAACATGGGGGTAGCCGAAGGGCTAGGGAGAAGAGGAATGGCTTTTTTTTCAAGTTAATGGCCATTCATTCACCCACCAACACCAACTCACGCACTCAAAAGGGGAAAGGCAAACAATTCTGGTTATTCCGTTTTTACCTTTTTTTCCAGGGGCAGAGTCATTGCATGCGCGGCCTCCACATTCTCTAAAAAGCCAATGTCTCCTATCAAAATGGCCTGTTTCCTGCACTACATTACTACTAGTATTTGCATTTTTGTATCAATATTCTAACTACTGTAACTTCAAATAGGAAATTAAATGTCTCCTATATATCAAAATGGCCTGTTTCCATCCGACACTGATTTCTCTAAAGTTTTAATTAAATGATGTACATAATAATTGTCTTATAGTAGTATATTAGATAATATATACACACACATCCCCAAGACTAGATTATTTGAAAAAAATAATGTACAGTACATATTAATTAACTTCAGGTCGCGCGGAATAACTGATTATGACAATAGACCAACAATGCTTATCTAAAATAATTGTAGGTCTCTATCTAGTCATATATATACGGCATGTTGTACCAAGACTCCACGGCAAAGATATACATAGAATTTTTTTTAGTACTAATGTAAGTGTATATAACTCAAATCCCCCTGGATGTAACAGAAGATCAGCCTCCGCCCCCTTCAATCAAGAGTGTATTTTTGCCCATGTGGTAATAAAATTCTGACTTTGATTATTTATAAAAAAAAAATACTCAAATTCTTCTAATTAAAACTTTCATTGCTGCTTCTTCTAAATAAAGTTATAAGTGTGTGTAGGTCAGAACCTAGTCATCATCTATATATACCAGGAGTCCAACGCAAAGATAGATAAATGAGCTCAGCCTTTCGGCTTCTGCATGCAGTAGTGCTGAAACACAAACATTCCCACACTCTCCATTTCTTTTTATTTGTTTATGTGCAAGTTGACACATTTGCCAAGAATTGCCTCCCATAAAAACTCTTCTAAGTTTCTTTCCACTTTCTGAACAACACAGAGTCTTTTCCTTGATTCTTGAATTTCCTCACCCTCACCCAATTCAAAGGAACTTTTACTCCCACTAGTCATTTTCGATCTGTTCATTCGACACTTGAAATGGCATCGCTATCAACCCGTGTGCCAGTACTGCTTGTCATTTTTTATATGACAGTAGTTGCATTTTTCATGGTTTTATTATGCAGCCATAATGTTACTGCTAGATATCATCACCACGGCCACCGCGGCCATCACAATAAGAAACATTCCCACATATCATATCCGCCTTCTATTCCACCTGAGCCTTCTAACCCACCCGCAGACGAAGGGGTTTATGATGTGAGGTCGTTTGGGGCTGTAGGAGATGGCATTGTAGATGACACTGAAGCTTTCAAAGCAGCGTGGGATGCCGCTTGTCAAGTCGAGTCAGCAGTCATCTTCGTTCCCTTTGGTTATTCTTTCATGATCCAATCCACTATTTTTACTGGTCCCTGTCAAAGTGGTTTGGTCTTTCAGGTACCTAGTTAAGATACTTACTAGTAGTATTTGGTTTCTAATTTCAATGTCCTTCCTCCATTTCATTTTACACGACAATGCTTGACTAGACATGAAAAACAAGATTAATGATATTCAACGCATGCCGAATTTGAAGTCTTAAATATGTCATACGCTCATATATGGCTATAAGATATTCTGGGGGAAAATATTTAAAAAAAAAAAAGTAGCCCGATGCACAAAGTATCTCGCGTTTAGTAGTTTCCGGGAAAGAGCCGTTCTCCAAGGATGTAATGTAGTCAGTCTACACGACTCGAACCCGTGACCTATAGGTCACACTGAGGATAAAATGAGAAGTTTAAAATTAAAACATTTCAGAATCATTCTTACTCGAACGTTAAATTGTGATATATATATATATAATGAAACATTGGGAGTATGTCCTGTCCTATTTTCTATTGTAATTTAGATGTACTAAAAAGTTCTATTATTATGTAATGTGATACATACTTTGTAGTAATAGTATTATCTTTTAAAGCCAAAAAAAAAAAGGAATGACTGAGGGATTTTTGTTTATATATGTAACTGAAATTGTGTGCCAACATGGAAAGCTGGAAGGAACAATAATGCCACCAGATGGACCAGAGTCGTGGCCGGGCAACAACAGCAGGCGGCAGTGGCTGGTTTTCTATAGAGTTGATGAGTTGTCACTGCAAGGCGGAGGCGTCATAGATGGAAGGGGAGAACAGTGGTGGAATCTGCCCTGCAAACCGCATAAGGTATGCACTATAAACTTAGTATATATATGTGTCAACTTAATTCCTTTTCTTTTTACTATATATAAGGGATAGTGGTTAATTTCATTAATCTTTGTACACGTACGAATGAACGAATTATCTAATCCTCAGTACAACAACAGGGACCTAATGGAAGTACACTGCCTGGACCATGTGACAGCCCAATTGTGAGTGAAAAAATAAGCTTTTACCACTAAGCATATTTTCTTTGCAATTAATATTAGATTTTGTGAAATTCTGTACGTGTATTTGCAGGCCATTAGATTCTTCATGAGCTCAAATCTAACGGTGGAAGGAATTAGAATGCAGAATAGTCCACAATTTAATTTTAGATTTGATAACTGCAAGAATGTGCATATAGAATCCCTACACATTACAGCTCCAGCCTGGAGTCCCAACACTGATGGTATTCACATAGAGCAGACCACCAATGTTGAAATTTACGATTCACTCATCTCTAATGGTACGTAATTCTACTTAATTACTACGAACAAAAATTCTTTTTTTACTCAATCAATTATTCCTAACGTTCAATTGCTATTGGTTTAATTTGTATACTATATTATAGGTGATGATTGTGTATCAATAGGGGCAGGATGTCACGATGTGGATATTAGGAATCTCACATGTGGACCTGGAGGTCATGGAATCAGGTGGAATATATTAATAATACTCTATCAACTAGCTTAATGGGGTGATTATAATATTATCTTCAGAAGTGGATGTACAAAATGCTTGTTTATAGTTCAAGTAATACACTTTTACCTCTAAAAACAATGTAAACAAATATAAGAATGATTTTACTTTATTGGAAAAAAATATATACAACCAGTATAATTAACGTGTTATAGCAGGTTGTCTAGATTATTTCCCTGACAGTTAGTTGCTTACTTGGGCAGTTCAATAAAATGCAATTATCTTTTGTCATTGTAGCATTGGGAGTTTAGGCAACCACAATTCGCGAGCATGCGTATCAAACATTACAGTGACGGACTCAGTGATAAAGGAATCAGATAATGGAGTGAGGATCAAGACATGGCAAGGTGGTTATGGAGCAGTATCTGGAATTTCCTTCCTTAAAATTCACATGGACAACGTAAGGAATCCCATAATAATAGACCAATTCTACTGCCTCTCAAAAGAATGCAGCAACCGCACCTCAGCAGTGTCCGTTTCGGACATTGAATACTCTAGCATAAAAGGAACATATGATATTAGAAGTCCGCCAATGCATTTTGCTTGTAGTGACACTATTCCCTGCACTAACATAACACTTTCGGACATAGAACTTCTGCCTGCTCAAGGTGACTTAGTGTTGGATCCGTTTTGCTGGAACGTATATGGTGGACAAGAGACGTTAACTATTCCGCCTATTTTCTGCTTGTTAGAGGGCAATCCTCCAGCAGTGTTTGAAAATAATGACTTGGGCTATTGCTCGTGATATATGATCTGAAATTTGCACAGCCAATGTTAAGTTGCCTGATTGTGCTAGCTATCCCTTTTTGTTTCTGTACATATCAGGTTATAGATTGATGGATCTTGATATGGAAATCCAGTAAATCGCTGTAATGTAATTTAGAGAAAGGGGAGCTTATTCTTTACATGTTTCCCTTGAGATTATTTTACTTTAGGCTTTCCTCTTCAGTACTTGATGTAATATTTTTGTGCTTTCGTTGCTTCTATCAGTAATATATTTTAGTTTAATTTGTAATCATACTTTAAATCAAGTATGAACGTCCTATCATGGGAGACTTTTGCTTTTGATCCCTGGAATATCGACGTATTCTTATTTTGATCTTTATCATATCTAGTTAAACACATTTAACCTTCAATTAATTAGAATATTGGAGTTTAAGTAAAACGAAAGTTGGAAAAAGTTTCACATGCCTTTTTCCTTCCTTATAAATGTGAATTTGTATGTCAAGTGAGTCCTAAAAAGTTGTTGTTTGTGCTAGTTAGCACTGAGTCTTTTCATCTTTTCTTTAGCCGAGTATCTATCGGAAATAGCCTATCTACCTTTTTAGGGGTAGAGATAAGGTTTGTGTATACACTGCCCTCCTCAGATCCAACTTGTGGGAATTCACTAGGTTTGTTGTTGTTGTTTAGTCCTAACAAATCATGTCATTAAAGATAAAATATAGATGTGATAAGATTAAATAGTTTTCAAATATAAAAATATAATAATTTTTTTGGAGCAAACTAATTAAAAAGAAAAAGTGTATCACATAATTGAAAGGAGTGATTAGTAAGACCATGATATCCTAACATGCTCTGCTTCTAAATATTTCTATTCATGCATGGAAGAATGCAAAAAGCGGATAAAAATACCATCAGGTACATAAACTAAGTCCCTCAATTATTAACCTTTTGTTAGAGGAGATTCATCTCCAAATTCTATAATGTATAGAGAATATTAGTACAGTTAGACCTCTCTATAACAACATTCTTATATAACAGCACCTCTATAACGATCCGACTGGTCGTTCTGAGCAATTGTGTTCGGTTCGGTAGTTTGAGGTCACGAGTAGCTTCATATTATGTGTATCGACTTGCATGCACAGTCCGGACGTGAAACCGGAAAGCTTTTATGTGAAAATATGAAAAATATAGTAATTTCTAGAGTTAAAATTTGATTTTTAGTTGACTTTGGTCAACATTTTTGGTAAATGGACCCGGATCTGTGTTCTGACGATCCCAGGAGGTCCGCGATAAAATACGAAACTTGGGCGTATGCCCGGAATTGAATTCCGAGGTCCCTAGCCTTAGAAAATATTTTTTGAAGAAAATTGTTGTGCTGGTTTTTAAAGGAAATAAAGAAATGAATTAATGTTTGAACTCGTTGGTATCAGACTCGTATTTTGGTTCTGGAGCCCGGTACAAGTTTATTATGATATTTAAGTCCTATTTGTGAAATTTGGTGAGAACCGGAATTGATTTGACGTGATTTGGACGTCCGGTTGAAAAGTTAGAAAATCATGAGTTTTGAGATTAAATTCATAGTTTTTGATGTTATTTTGATAATTTGATCGTACGAGCAAGTCCGTAGATATTTTTAGACTTGCGTGCATGTTTGGCTTGGAGCCCCGAGGACTTGGGTGAGTTTCGGATAGGTTTAGGCTATGTTGCGCTTGTTTTTGGATGCTTCATCGTCGTTTCTTCAAGCAAAAATGATATCACATTGAGCAAATGAGATCCAAATTCAATTTTTATTGAACCATTAGATCCGTATCGAAATTACGGAGCCATAGGAAAAAGAATCATCGAATTTGGACTTCATATGAGGAAGTAATGCTTATTTTTGTGTCGGGAAAAATTGTTGGTTTCTGGTGTGGTCGCAAATACGAACTTTTTCATCGCAATTGTGATGCCCAGTTCGCAAATGCAAACTTTTTATTGCAAATGCGACTTCTGCCAGCCCTGCCTTGTTCGCAATTTGCGAAGGTTCGCAATTGCGAACCCTGGGTCGCAAATGCGACATCTGAGGCCTGTTAAGAGAGATTTTTGACGAGATTTTCACCCATTTTTCAATTTTCTCAAAACATAAACCTCCATAGGCGATTTTCCAAAGACCCAAACTTCTCCAAATTATTGGGTAAGTGTCTCGTATCTATTTTCAACTATATTTTGTTATTATATCTTAGATTTAACCTCAAATTCATGAGAATCTAAAGGAATATTTGGGGAAAATTGTGAAATCTTTCAAAAATTTAAAATGATGATTTGAATGACCAAATTGTGTCGGAATTAGATAATTTTTGTATGCATAAACTCGTAACGGACTGGGTGTTCGGTTTTTGTAAATTTTATCGGGTTCCGAGGCGCAGGCCCGGGGAGTTGACTTTTGTTGACTTTTTGCAAATTGTATAAGAATCATAATTTTGTTCATTGGAATTGTTTTCTCTTGCATTGTTTGATGTATTCAAGTCGTTTTTGGCTAGATTGAGCCGAGAGTTGATGAATTGGTAAAGGAAAAGCTAAATTGAATGTTGAATTGGCCGGATTGAGGTAAGTATCTTGCCTAACCTTGTGTGGGGGACTTCCCCTTAGGAGTTGAGTCTTCTATGCTATTTGTAGTCCGTGCACGCGAGGTGACGAGTATGTGCTCGGACTTATTTGTGGAAAAATTTATGTAAGGTTCTATAACGACCCGGTCGGTCGTTTCATGAGTTACCCTACGGTAGGGGTAAGGTCTGCGTATGCACCACCCTCCTCAGACCCCACTAGTGGGATTATACTGGGTTGTTATTGTTGTTGGATTGTCTTGTTTAGATGTATTATGTGTTATCGGGTTGGTTGGTTCGGGTTCGGAGAGGTTTTGGAAAGGAATGAGACACTTAGTCTCTTTTGAATAAGCTTAGGTTGGAAAACTCAACTGGATGTTGACTTATGAGAAAAAGGGCTCAGATGTAAATTCCGATGATTCAGATAGCTTCGGGAGGTGATTTAGGACTTATGAGCGTGATCGGAATATGTTTTGAAGGTCCGGAGTAGATTTAGGCTTGAATTGGCGAAATTGGAATTTTCGCGTTTTCGGTTGATAGGTGAGATTTGGATATAGGGGTCGGAATGGAATTCCGGAAGTTGGAGTAGGTCCGTTGTGTTATTTATGACGTGTATGCAAAATTTCAAGTCATTCAGACGAGGTTTGATAGACCTTTTGATCGAAAGCGAAATTTGGAAGTTTTTGGAATTCTTAGGCTTGAATCCGATGTTAATTTGTTGTTTTGAGTGTTTCGAAAATTGGAACAAGTTTGAATGATATTATAGGATATGTTGGCATATTTGGTTGAGGTCCCGAGGGCCTCGGGTGAGTTTCGGGTGGTTGAACAGATCAATTTCAAGTTGGAAAAATTGCAGAAAATTGTTGTTGGTATTGCAAACATTTGTTCTTCGCGTTCGCGAAGGGTTAGGATGTGAGGCAGGAGGGTTAGCCTTCGCGGTTGCGAAGGAGGTCCCGTGTTTGTGAAGGGCTGAGGTCAGTGTTCATCGCGTTCGCGATGGGTTTCCCGCGTTCGCGTAGAGTTAATGGGAGCAGCTGGGGTCTTGGAAAATTGTGCTTCGCATTCGCGAGCTGGTAGTCGCGTTCGCGATGGGTTGAGGAGCTGAGGCATCGCGTTAGCGTATAGGGTGTCGCATTCGCGGTGAAGGAATAAGTGGTCAACGGAAGTTTGTGCTTCGCGAACGCGAGGCGTTGACCGCGTTAGCGAAGAAGGAATTTTAAAAGCTGGGCAGAATGTTGAAAAGACCCCTTCCGCAATTTTGGGTCTAAATTTCACCATTGTTGAGCGATTTTGGAGCTTTTTGAGGGAGATTGAATAGGGAATTCCAAAGAACTTCTTGGAGCTAAGATTTATGGACTTAATACTCGATCCTATTGTAATTTCTACTTAATTAAACATGAAATTTAGGGTATTTGAAGCCAAAAATTAGGGAGTTAGGGCTTGAAAATTGGAGACCTTAATCTAGGGATTTGAGGGGTCATTTGTGGTCAGATTTTGGCATTCTTGGTATGTATGAACTCGTGGAAGGATAAGGATTCTATTGATGTGACTTTTATCAAATTTTGAGACGTGAGCCTGAGGGTCGGGTTGGACCAATTTCGGGATGTTTGGTATAATTTAATTATTTTCGCATGGACTTCATCCCCTTAGTATATTCTAATGTTATGATTCTGATATTGCATAGATTTGATGTGAGTTGAGGCTGAGTCGAGAGGCAAGGGCATCACAAAGTAGTATTTTATCCGGTTTGAGGTAAGTAACCATTGTAAATCTGGACCTGAGGGTATGAAACCCCGGTATTTCGTATTGTTTTGATAAATGAGGTGACGCGCATGCTAGGTGACGAGCGTGTGGGCGTGCACCGGTAGGGATTGTTATTTGGTCCGTCCCGTAGTGGCTATTAAGCCTCGTATTTGATTTGAAATCTTATGATATCTCGTATTTTAGAGATTGACACTATATTTTGGGTTGTATGCCATGTTTGGGGCCTTGTGCTGACCTGTTTAGACCCTTAGGGGCATTTTTACTATTTTCCTCACTCTATTTGTTTTGAAAGCATATCCCCAGTCATGTTTTTCCTATTTATTGCTTAAATTCAGTTTTATCACTCTACTTCTTAATATATGAAAACTGTTTGTGCTGAGTTCCCTGATTTCCACTGTTATGCCCGAGTGGCTGTGAGGTTAATGACTGAGATAGGTTGAGGACCTAATGGTGAGGATTATATATATTATGGATCGGGCTGCACGCCGCAGCAATATTATATATATTAGGGATCGAGATGCACGCTGCAGCGATACTTATATGAACCGGGCTACACGCCGCAGCGATATATATATTGGATCGGGCTGCGCATCGCAGCGATATGACGCTTGGGCTGTAGGATCCGCTCCGGAGTCTGTACACCCCCAGTGAGCGTAGTTGACTATAAACTATGGATTGGGCTGCACGTGGCAGCGGTTAATATGATTATTACCACTCTGAGATATTATTGAGCCGGAGTGCTGAGTGTGAGTACTATTGACGAGGGACTAAGAGGCTATACCATGAGTGATACCTTGACCGAGGGGCCCATTTATGGTATTTTGAAGTTTTCACTCTTCTTTTATACTGAGTCTCTGTTGAAAGATGTTGAATAAATGATTTCAAAGTATTTCAATTGAAACTGAA